TTTTTTTTTTTTTTTCCATACCCGCGATTGAACTCAGGACCTTGCGCTTTCGAGATGGGTGGTGGGAACCCCTGAGCTAAATCCCCGGCCATCAGCGTTGTTTTTAACTTGCATCTCTCAGTGATCACTAATGTTGTACATTTTTCCATATATTTATTTGCTGTTTCTACTTCTTCATCTGAGAAGTGTCTATTCATTTCAGATATCCGTTTTTGGATTAGGTCTTTAAATTTGGGAGCTCTGATTTTTTTTTTGAGTCCTTTATATATTCTAGATAGTGGTCCTTTGTCTGAGGAATAGCTAGTAAAATTTTTTTCCCCACACTGGGTTGTCTTTTCACTCTTTTGGTGGTTTCTCTTGCTTTGCAAAAGCTTTTTAATAAGATGAGATCCCAGTTGTTGATTCTTTGTGATAGTTCCTGTGTGACTGAGGTTTTGTTCATAAAGTTTGCCTACACTAGTGTCTTCAAGAATTCTACCTGTTTTCCTCTAGATTAAGTGTTTCTGTTTTAATATTTAGATCTTTCATCCATATTAATTTTAGCTTAGTGCATGGTTAAAGATAATGAGTCTAGTTTCAGTCTTCGCCATGTAGAAAGCCAGTTTTTCCAGCACCATTTATTAAAGAGGGTGTCTGTCTTGCAGTGAAGGTGTTTGGCTCTTTTGTCAAAGATGAGGTGGCTGAGTGTGTCTGGAGTTGTTTCTTTCTGCATCTTCTAATCTGTTTCATTGATCCTCAGGTCTGTTTTGTTTTTTCTCTCTCCTAGCATGCTGGGTTTTTTTTTTTTGGTACTGGGGATCGAACTTGGGACCTTTTACTTGTGAGGCAGGCATATGCTGTTTTTATCACAGTAGCTTTGTAGTATAATTTCAAGTCAGAGATTGTGATGCCCCCGGCTTGCCTTTGTTGGCCAGAATTGCCTTTGCTATTCTAGGTCTCAGGCCTTGAACTTTTTTTTTGTTTGTTTGTTTTGTTACTGGAGATCGAACTCGGACCTTTCGATTGTGCGGCAGGCACCGGGACCACTGAGCTAAATCCTGGGCCCAAGGCCTTGAACTTTTGATCCTCCTTTCTCAGCCTCTGAGTAGCTGGATTTATACAAGTGCACCACTGGACCACTGCATCTGGCTCAGGTTGGATATTTTGTCCTGAAACAAAGAATTATTCTAACTGTGCCACCACTGTACAGAAGGAGCCAAATTTTGAGCTTTTTATTCAGTAATAGTCAATGCTGTACCTTACAAAAAATATTATTAAAGCTAATAAATGAATAATGGTATATTACTGTGTATCTGTCTCTATTGGCCAGATGATAAAAGAATCATTTTAACAATTCTCTCCCTGTGAAATATAGTAGACTTTTTTTTTATCTGGGGAGAAGTGAGATACATCCCAAGACCTTGGATATCTGTATCTGAAACTGAGATAATATCAAAGTCTGTAGGGATTTAGCTCAATGATTACCCCGCCTACCTCACAAGCAGAAGGTCCCAAGTTCGATCCCCGGTACCAAAAAGAAGTCTGTATATACTACATTTTTCTTACATATACATATACATATGTGAATTTAATGCCATTTTTTAAAAAAATGCGGTGCTAGAAATTAAACTTAGGGCTTTGCACATTTAAGCACGCACTGTTCCCCTGAGCTACATCCCTAGCTGGCCAGCTACACACCCTTATCACCCTCTGTGCTGTTATCTTTTCAGTTTGAGGTGCATCAGTGAAACTAGCATAGATTTCTTTTTTCTTCATAATTTAGACAGATTTGTTCTCACTGTAGATCTTTTTTTTTTTCTCACTGTAGATCTTAATAACTTTAGCATAGGATTTTTTTCTTATTAAATCAAGAATTTTCACCTTTCCATTTAAATGAAGCACTTTAAAGCTTTTCTTTGCATATCTGAATTGCTACCAGCATCACTACTCTTGTGCTTTGGGGCTGTTATTGTAAAATAGGGGTTAGTTGAACACAGACACTGTGCTACTGTGACAATAGATTGGATAACCAAGGAGGCTGCTGAAGGGCTAAGAGGCAGGTAGAAAATATAGTGTTGGATATTCTGGACAAAGGAATGGTTTCCATCCACAGTGGGATGGAGTGGGATGTGATTTCATTATGCTACTTACAGTGCCTTGAAATTTAACATTTATGAATTGTTCTTGAAATTTTTCATTTAATTTTTTGGACTATGTTGGCTGTGAGTAACTCAAACCAAGGAAAACAAAAGCACAGATAAGAAGAAATTACTTTAAAGCATCAGATAGCCAGGAATAGTGGTGCATGCCTGTAATCCCAGCACTCGGGAGGCTGAGGCAGGAGGATTGCCTTGGGGTACATTGTGAATTCAAGGCCACCCTGAACTACGCAGTGAGACCCTGTCTCAGCCTCTCCCCAAAAAAGGATTAGATAGGCTGATTTGGGTCGTTCTGTGGATAGAGTTCAAAAGTCTCACAAAGTAATATTAAGGAAAACTATCATGAATTATTGAAGGTGATTTAAGACAGTCTGACCCATGTATCTTCTGTAGACTTCATAGACTTTATGGTAGATTTTCTCTCATATTAATGATATTATGGTTATTTTATCATTTGTTTCTAGTTGTAGTTGAATAAAGTTCTGTGACTTTTGTTGAGACTCTGTAACTTGAATTTTGTTTTGTTTTGGTACCAGGGATTGAACTCAGGACCTTGCGCTTGCAAGGCAGGTGCAGCGCCAGTGAGCTGAATCCACGGCCTGTAACTTGAGTTTTTTGGTTGTTTTTTTTTTTTTTTTGGTACCAGGGATCAAACTCAGGTCATTGCACTTGCAGGGCAGGCGGCAGAACCACTGAGCTACTAAGTCCCTGGCCCCTGTAACTTGAGTTTTTAAAATAAAATGTTTTTGGTTTAGTTTATCAGTGGCTCAATTAAGTACTTTGAAATTTTTGTATAAATAACTTATGCAAAATAATAGCCTCTGACTCTTTTTACGTTTTTAATTTTGAGACAGAATCTTGCTAAGTTGGCCAGGCTGGCCTTGAGTTTGCAGTTCTCCTGTCTCATCCTCTCAGTTCTGGATGTGGCCACCATGCCTGGCTCACACTTTGCCTTTTGATGGGAAATTATGATCTATTAACATTTAAAGTAATTACAGAAAAAGGAGGGCATACTCTTTGCATTTTGTTGTTTCTTGTATGCCTGTATCTTTTGACCCTCATTTTTTCCGTTACTGCCTTTTGGGGTGCTGGGGAGTGACTCTTGCGTTCTAGGTGAGCACTCTATGACTGAGTTGTACTTACAGCCTTAGGGAACTATTTTGATCCCCTTCTCATCCACAAGTTTTGATGAACTATTGTGTCTTGAATTTGATCCACTTCAAAATAATTTAAATTTTTCCTTTGATTTCCTCGTTGACTCTTGAGTTATATAGAAGTCAGTTATTTAGTTTTCAAATATTTGGGTATTTTCGACATATCTTTCTGTTATTCTAATCTAATTCAGTTGATAACAGTGAGCATCAATGAGCATACTTTGTAAGATTGGTGCTACTCATCTTTCTGTTATTGTGACAGAATAACTAAGACAAACCACTAAAAGGAGGAAAGATTTATTTTGATTTATCTTGATTTTCAGAGATTTCAATCCATGATCCACAGCTCCATTACTTTGGGCTTGAGGCAAGGCAGAACTTCCTGGTGGTTGGAGGCCAAGAGAGGGGAGGGGAAGAGGCCTTGGGCAAGATATACCCCGTTCAGGACCAATGAGCTACTGCTTCCAACTAGCCCTACCCAATAAGCCATTCAATTAGGAGGCCATCAATGGATTAATCCATTGATGAGACCT